GAAGATGAGTGTTCATAATTCTAGACTGGATGAGTTTTGTTTCCTTTGGTTGAGTAAGGGATACAAAATCCCGTAATTCCGAACCTTGGGTGTTGCCTTTCTTTTGTCCACTTTCTCATCATGATTCCAATGGCTTGGAATGCATCATTCTTTTGCTACAAGTTTTGACCGACTCATAAGTATATATATATATATATATATATATAAAACGTTTGTGGTCCAATTGCCCTAGCCACCAATGTGGGATATAGGGATCACGACTCCTTAATTCGAACCTCGAGTAGTGGAACCTTGGCTATCTGGTTGGGGCATGACTTATAGTGATGATAACTCATGTAAAATGTTATTCATGATACAGGAATTAAGTTCTGGGTGAAGAGCGTACCTGTTCTGGATATAGTGCAGTTCCCCCCAGTAGGGTGACAATCTATGCAGACTTGTTTCTTTATGGATAATGCCCTCACTGGCCCTTTCACTTTATCAGTGTGGGATTCTAGCTATAAGTGAGAGTGGAAGTAAGTATGTTTCAGAAGTTAACATTTTCCTAAATTGAAATTTTATTTCCAATAATACTTACTTCTGTTCATACTCTCCTGCCCTTTTTTCCAATTGAGAGCTGGTATTAGAGACTGGGATTAAGTTAGTTTTGAAAAAGTGATAACATTATCTTAATGAGGTGCTTATATACTGTACCTGGATAGAGAGTGCATTGGAATAGGTGGAGAGTGTCACGAGATAAATATTGCCAAGGGCAATTTAGTGGGGTATAAAAGACTGGAGCAGTGAGAAAAAATCAGACCAATGCTTAGATGGGCAAAGGAAGACACCCTGGTGGTCATGTAATAGCTATAAGTGTGAGAGGAGGTAAGTGTTATTGGAAATACATTTTCAATTTAGGAAAATTATACCATCCAGGTAAATGGTTTTATGATGCTCTGACATCAAATTTTAGTGTATTATTGTATCCTAGATGCAAATTATTTACATGACCCAACAAAAGCTTTGGTAGAAGAGCAGTTAATACACAGTTTATTTCTTTGTGTGCATGTGTTAGATGTGTCTGGTATTCAGTGTATAGCTTTTTTATGTTTTTATTTTTTGTATGTTCATCTATAAGTTAGTGGAGTTTAGATGCTTTCATAAGTTGAAAAAAGTGGGGAAAGATCGCAGTGAGTTTGCCAGAAAGTTTTAAAAAATGTTTGTGTATTGACCCTGGTTATCCAGCAAACAGAAATGGATGTGTCCATTCCATCTCAAGAGCAAATTGGACCACTGAATAAAGATAATTATAAAAAATATACTTGTAGTTTTTTCACCCATGCATTTATAAAACTACTTTATAGTTGAAATTTATTTCATAAAATAAGTTTTATGTTTAATTTTATACATAAAAATGTAAAAAAATAAAATCCAAATGTTGATCTTTGGTTGATTTCATTGCACTCTGAACATAATATTTCATTCAATACTTCCCAAAGTTGTGCTTATTTCACCTTGTAACTGTAGTACAAATGTAGATTTATCAATTTTAGGCAATCACTGTTTCTCAACTTTGGTTGTAATGGGGTGATGTGATTCCCTATATCTCAGCTTTGAGGAGTCCTAAACACACTAGGAAATCTCTTTTTACTGTTCTTTTCAACTGTATATGCCATTATGGCTTCTACTTCAGTGGATATTTTTGTAGAGATTGGAATAAAGTGGTAAAAGTTAAGCTTTGTGATACATTGCTAGAAGAAAAGATGTTTGTTAACAACTTTACCACAGTTTTAATTTTTTAAGCTCGCAAAAACTTGTTTATAATTTTATATTATGTTGCATCATGATAGGAAAAATTAATATTTTTTCTGGAAGAAGTTGAGAGAGGCTTAGTTAAATCATTTTGTCCTCAAGCATATCATGTTTTTTTGCTGAAAATATTGCATCTTAGGCTGTGTTTACATTAGGCCTTATCAGTTTGCAAGTGCTTGAAAGGGTGAAGAAAATCACTGAAGAAACATACAAGTAAAATACATTTAAATATATAGAAAATGGGTTCAAAGCTTATTACTTATATTAAATGAATGAAATTTTCTTAATAAGAATTTAAAAAGATTCAGCTTGCTTGTTATTTTGGTATGGTAAATAAGTTACTTTAATTGTACACCAGTGATTGTAAACTCAGTGAAACTGTATGGTGTTCTTTGAATCAAAACAAAGATAAAATTTACAGTTTTTCTAATATAAAAACTTTATAGGAAAGTTTTAGAAGAATGTAGGAAGACATAAAAATTAGTAATTAAGTTATAACAAAGGTAACAATTTTTAATTGTTTCTTAAAATAATGTATATCACAGTGAAATCTTTTTGTATTTTCAAAGCTGCAAATTCATACAAATATCAAATATAGATATATTCTGTTAGCAGAAGGTGTGAAATCTGTAGAAAGTTCTTAAGTTTCAAACTATTTCATCTTGTATTTTGTTTTTGCAATGAAATAAAGCAAACCATACAACAGGTACATCAAACTGACTCACCCAGACATTTGAGTTAATATAATTTCCAGACATTTCTGATTAGGCTGGTTCTTGCTTAATATTTTGCTTGCTGAATAGTTAATAAAAAAAATAATAATGGTCTTATTATCATCACAGGTGACTTCATGAAGGAAGGTCTACTTTCAAAAGATGTTTGATTATCAAATTGTCATACTTTATTTACCTACTTTTTATTTTCCTGTGTGCTTTTTCCGTAGCAACACTCTTTTCAGGCTAAATTGTTTTAGTGCATCATTGTGTCTGAGTGACAAATACTGCACATTTTTTCTGACTAATGCTTAAGTACTTGTAGTTTAGATGTCTGTAGTTAGTGTCAGAACTTTTTAAGTATATGTATATGGGTGTTAAGGATTCTTCTACAGTAGGTGTCTGTGACTTGTTAGTGATAAATTCGAACAATAAATGGACAGCATGCACTCCATTTATGTGCAAAATTCTTTACATTATGGAAATCACAGTTGTATCTTGAACACTATACAGTTCTCTTTTTCTTATCAAAAGTCCACTTAGGCTAATTCAGTTGCTTTAGAATCCAGTTGACAAGCCAAACTATTATTTTCTACTTTTATCACAATAGTATCAGTGAATAATTCACTTATGTTGCTTTATGGATTACCACAGTTGTATCCTGAACTTTCAATAATTGTCTTCTTTCTGTCAAAGTCCACACAAGCAGGTTCAGTTTAGAACACCCTTTGACAAGACAAGTTATTCTCCTTGTCCCTATCAAACTGTTAATCTCACCTTAACATATTAATCTTTAAGCCATTCACTCTCATGATGGTTAAATTTATGTTTTTTAACTTTTCTCTGACCAAAGTTCTCTTTCACGGGACTTTACTTTTACTCTCTGTTTCCACTTGTCTGGTCGCAGCTATTTATACATCTATCACTTAGGCCTTCTAGAAATCTCCATAGCCTCAACATCAATGGATTGCAAACACAATGTTTGATAGCCTTGACATCAACGAATTACAAACTATTACAAACAAAATATTTATGTTCTCACATTTGATTTAGAACACCCACTGAGTTCTTTGTTTTCTATTTCAATTTAGTATATTGTCAAATGTTCAATTTTATGTATCTTGTCTCCCAACTGAATGACTTCAAATAATTTAGGTTGGATGTTGATAATGAAATGACCAAATGTCAGTTTAAATACTGTATTTGATTATTTATAGGAGAGACATGAATATGTTTAATGATGTTTAATCAAACAAGAATTTGGTTTATTTGTAAAAATAAAAACAGTCATATCTCTAGTTAATTTCCATTAAACTGTTCCTTCCAACATGTCTTGCTTTCTGTTATTTTAATTTGTTCTGATGAATTATATTGTTATGCCTCATCATATATTTATTTTTTGTATAAGATAGTTAAATATCATTTTAAGGTGGAATAAATAAAGAGACTTATTTCAAGTTGATCAATTAATATTTTATTCAGTAAGATTAAAAATTAGCCAAAGGATAATCACCAACTTTAAAATACTGGCTTACATTATCAGGAAACAGTGAAAACTAAGGCTTTCTAGTCTGATGCCATTATGAGTTTTGCAGAATTATATTATGCATAGCTGTGTTGTGTTTTCTAGGTTGTAAATGCTACTGTGCTTAATTCAGTGGACAACCATTCACTCAGAGTGAATCCAATATTAGCAAGAATTAGTACTTTTGTTTACAATGTAAAGCCACTGACCCTGAGTTCTACTTGTAAATAAACTCTGATAGTAGAAGAATTGTTAGTTTTTTCAGAGCAAAAAATATCTTGCTGTTCTGTGTGAAATAAATCTAAACCAACATTTTTTTTGGGTGTAAACTGCATTGATTACAGAGTGTAGATATGTTTGACTAGTAACTTTATTCAGATTTCCAAAAACTTTTATCAAATTATGAATGAAATTCAATCATCATCATCTAAATTCTTCAAATACTGCTGTAAGTTTATACTTTATTTGTTTTAAAGTTATTTCTTTCATATTATTGACCATAATAGTTTTTAAAAATTTACATATTACAGTTTATTTATTTAGGCCTAACTTAAATCTCTGAAGCTGGCCAAATGTCACGAGATACTTTTGGAATTATAACATAAGTTATTGAACATAGTGAGGGTGTCCAAGTGATGATTCATTTCATTCTGATTATTATAGGTTTTAGTGTTCTTGTGTACCGATTATGACATTAAATACTTCCAGTCAGTTTGTTATGTAGAATTAGCTTCATTAATTTTTAAGTTTAGTTTTGATCTATATAGTTACATAACATATTCATTTACAATACAGTCATGCTGTGTTACAAAACAACATTATTTTACAAGTACACTAAAACAGTGTATTAGAGTATACATTGATTTAAATTAAGTAAATAACAAAAATACTGAACTTTTGTATGGAGGTATTAGAAACTAACCCATATTTTTATCTTCATCATTAGAATTTTATTTCTTTTTGTATTGTAGGACATAAGAAAGATTGCTCCTAGTTATGAAACTCCCATGAAACCTGGACAGTCAAAAAATATGGACCTTTTATCCTCACAGAATGGTAAAAAGCTGTTAATAGTTAATTGAAAGTATTATGTAAATACATTTATTTATAAGTAACCTGTTTAACAATGTGTGTTCCAGTTTAAATCTTGACAGATACTGTAATACAGTATAATGGTATGTATGTATATAGTACATTTTCAACTAACTTGACAAACAGTAATATTTCACCCAAAAGGATAATAAATTTCAAATTTTTACTGGCTTTGAATTTCTATTTTCAAAAATATTTTTTTGTGAAAAAGAGTAGAGAAAATATTTGCAGGCACAACATGTTTGTTAGTATAAATCTTAAACTTTGTAACATATGTTTCCAGAACTTTAAGAATAATATTATCTGCTTGATAAATATATATGCAATGTTCATTATGTACAGCTTACTATATATACAGGATGGCCCAAAAGTATGTGTACAGTTGATAATTGATAATGTATTTAATGTAATTAAAATAAAGTATACAGTTGATAATAATAATTTATTTAACAGCACTTTACACATGAAATGGAATTATGTGAAAGTTATTCCCAAGTTAATCCTGCAGGTGTTCAAATTGAAACCTGTTGCTGTTCATACAATCCTGGAGTCTGCCTGTCACACTTCTGCAAACTTTCTGATACAAGTTTATCTGTCCATCAAGCCCTGTAAATGCATCTGTGATTTACCCTTTCATTTCATGAACATTCCATGACTTCCTACTGTACTTCCCAGAAGAAAAAGTCCATATACATAGTTTAATGTTGTATGCAATTTGATGTATTAAATAATGATGATTGTGTTTTTTTTTAAATTGAAAATGTTTTTCATCAGATTCTAAGAAAACCATTTTATTTATTTTTATTTTTTGCAATTTTAATCAACAAAATAATTGATCTTCATTCAACCTGATATAAAACAATTTTTTAAGTTCACTGCTATTTTCTTTTTTGATTTTTTAACTTACATTTTGAATGCTGGCCATAATTTATAGTCTAAGTACAATTGATTGATTTTTTCTGCATCTTTACAATTTGGGTAATGCCAAAATCCCTTAGTATCTTTCACGTATCAACCGAAGTCATTCTGATTCAAAATTTTGGAAATTGGTTCAGCATTCATTCTCTGATTTTTCATTGGCCTCTGGTTTCTGGCCAGAATTTGATTCAGAGTTTTCTGAAGGTGATAAACCTAACCAATTTGCTGAAGACATTCTGAGCAGATGAAGAATACTATTATGGGCTGCAATATATAAGTTTGATTTGATTGCATGCTTAAAAATACAATTATATTTATTATTTAATACATAAAGATAATTTAAAATGATATTGCTTTATGGTACATACCTTGCATAATTAACAACTACTTGCCATGACAAACAATCCAGTCAAAAATACAGCAACCTGTATGCTGAAAAAGACATGTAACACCCTTTCCCAGCCATCATTAACACTCTTCCATAATCCATTGATGATAATTATTCCAGTTATGTCTATCAATATAATATATGGTCAAATTTTGCATTTATGTTTTGACACAAACTACCAATAACATCAGATGTGTGTATAATTGGTATTGACATATTCTTGTAAGCATGCTGATTGGCTTATGCCAATACTATGCATGCCAAGTTGGGAGGATATGGATAAATAAACATTTAGTGTCTTGGTGATTTGATTGCTTATGTTGAGAGTTTGGAAACCAAGTGTGATGATATTATTTGTGGACTTTGATACAGCAGATGGCTGGATGAGCTGAAAAATTAAGATAACATGAATTTTGCCATAGGGGAAAATAAAACTCGTTTGCATGACTCCTAGTTTAATCGTTGTGTACCTCAAGCAGCTGCAGAATGAAATGAGTATTCAAGCTGTTCCATATGAAAAAATGTTGGTCAAATCACTGGATGCAGAGCTTCTAGATTATAGATTTCTGTGCAATCAAACTGTTGAAATAGGTGCTAAGAAACCATTGTCTTGTACACTAGATGGCTTATGAAAAGCAGCCAAGGAGAAATGGTTTGCTTTTGACTAGACAACCTTTTGACAGAGCATTTTGCAATGGACTGGAAGGCTGGAGAGACTTTGTATGAAAACATAATCCATACTCCATGTAACTTGGATACTGAATAGGATTTATCATGATGGGCAACTCTAATCAAATTGTGGGATTTAACCATCACTCTAAAAAAGCATCCATGGCCCAAAGTTCAAAGCATATTTTTGCAGCTACAAGACAAAAACTAAAATGAATTACATGTATAAAATCCACTCCTACAATATGTAGGTTAACTACGTAGTTAACCTTCTACCAAACAGCCTACAGAGATTGAGTATATTATGTTAAAACAACTTCAGAGCCTCAGCACATCAATGATGTCCATGTCTCCATATCATTCTGATGATCAATAATTTTGAAAAATGTAAGTACATCAGCAAATATCACAATAAACCTGTCCATGGACTTTTGAGTTTATGAACCATTTTCCCTGTAGAAGACCAAACTAATCCATTTATTATGTTTGGGTTTATTTGTAAGTTACTTTGAAATATGATATCTAACTGACTTTAAATGTACAGGATTTTGAGTTTTTATAAAAAAAATCTGTACTTTTTTATATTGTTTTTGAGTTAATTAGCCATTTACAGATTTGGTTAAATTGCAGTAAATCAGACTGCTCTGTAGACAATGTAACCATTTACTCATACATCTTCATTCTATAATAACAACCAAACCAAGCCAGTTATGTAAAGTATATAGGTATTAAATTCTACTGGAAGTACTCATGGCTATCCTCACATCCAGGTTCACAAAAAGTGCAGTTAAATAAATACTTTAAATATTTAACATTTTTCATTAATTATTATGCTATCATGGAGAATAATGGTTTGAGGACTACTAATAATCTATGGAAATTTATAGTAGATAAGAACATTGTATATCAGAAATAATATCTTAAAAATCCCAGATGATTTGAAGAACCAGTAATTTAATTATATTTGTTTTCTGTATTTGTTATCAAGATTGATATTTATACTTTCTTTTGTTTTAAGCTGTAAGTGGTTTTTTTGGTGGAAAAGGAAGAGGTGCCAAAAGAAAGTTTCCTGTGGATGGAATATCTACAGCTAAGGAAAAGAAAGCCAAAAGGTAACTGTAAGAAAATAAAATCCAGTCATAGCTACTGGAAGGTTTCTAGTACTTAAGAACAGTAATGCTTGGAAACACTAGTTGCAATTACTTGATTGTTTTCATGACATGTTTATGAAATTATGATCAATAATTATAATAATAATTTTAATTGATTGATTAGTTTTCGAGATATTAATCGAGTCAATTGCTGCTCATAAAGTTTAAACCACACAGCTCTAGTACTGTAATAATGTAAGTGATTATTACAATCAAATTCTAACAGATTTCTAGCTTGTTAGCAGTATTTAGATTACCTTACAATTGTTTTTAAAAATAAAGAACTGCATCAATTACTAAACCTAACCACACACTAAATTAGCTAGACAGAATATTCACAGATGACATTACTAAAACACAAAACATTACTAGAAAATTACAGTTATTCATAAATTATGCAAGCTCAAACACCCAACAACCAATTAATCGAAATTAGGATAAATCAGTTACCAAGAAAATAATTAACTAATCAAAATTAGTTGTTGTGATTATTATCATTTTTCATTATTCCACCACTTTATTAATTGAAATTACTATTAAATCCATTTTAACAAAAATAATCAACTAAATGAAATTAGAGTTTTTGATTATTTACTGATTTAGGTTATTCTAACTGTCCAAGTAATCAATTATGTTTATTTATTGTTAAGTACAAATCTATATAATGAGTTGGGGTTGGGATTTGAGGGTGTTGCGTTTGACTCTCATTGCCACTAAGATTGCTTACCCTGCCTTTGTTATTGTGCAGCTTTTAAGGCTGTTCGTAATGAGAGAGAAATGCATTAGCTAAAGTTGGACCTATTGAGGAGCCCATCGCAACGCCATCTATTTTAAAGCTGTCTGGCACTGATATTATTTTTTAACTGTTCATTAGAGGGAAGGAAACTGGTTAGTAGCACCTTCCATAAATTTTCTGGCTACATAAGTGTTAAATGAAGTGTATATTTACTTTTTTTACATTAAGTTATGTTTCTAACTTATAGTTGTATAACTGTATTATTTAACGTTGTAAAAGGGGAGGATTTAGGGGAGGAGTTTATGGGTACCATAAAAGCTTTCCTTCCATGATGATAGCTCACCTCTCCACATAGATTAGCTATTTTCTTCATGAATCTGTCCAAGAGGGTCTGACATGGCCAGGTGGTTTGGGCACTCAACTCACAATCTGAGAGTCACGGGTTCGATTCCCCATCCCACCAAACATGCTCACCCTTTCAGCCATGGGGGCATTATAATGTGATGGTCAATCCACTATTTGTTGGTAAAAGAGTAGCCCAAGAGTTGGCGGTGGATGGTGATGACTAGCTGCCTTTTTTCTAATCTTACACTGCTAAATTAGGGACTGCTAGTGCAGATAGCCCTCGTGTAGCTTTGCATGAAATTCAAAAACAAACAAACTGTCCACTAAACTTGAGGCAACTCCCACCTAATTTCACATCTTTTAACATGAACTGTGTTGGTGCATAATGATGTCATCATGCGACAATAACCCCCCCCCCTCCCCAATGCACTTGTACTTGTGGTAATAACTACATTTTTCTCCCTAGCATTGTTTTGAACAGATGTGTTTAAGTTTCTCATCTGAATTCAATTTGTTGAGATTTGCATTGTTAATGAAACTTTGATTTTTGTTTTCTTTGGCTTTTGTTTCAAAAGCTTTAATTTTTATCTTGAATTCTCAAATGATGATGAAATATACTTTGTCATGTGTGAGTGATGTTATTTACACACAAGTCTTATTTAAACTATGGCTTCTGAAGACTTGTTAACTGCGCCTCCTACTCCTGTCATGTCGGCCGAAATTCTTTCCTCTCAGTTGAGAATGATCTAGTGGACTACAACTTTATCATGATTTGCTTGGGGTAGTAGCTTTGGAAATGACATTAACCTTCTTGTCTCTTTCTGGATTTTATTCTCACGTAATTTTTTTCCCTTATCTTTGTCTGTATTCTTTCTTTTTTCTTATTTTTTACTCCATGATCTTCAATTTTTGGGTTTACTTTGTCTTTCCTTCTTTCTTGTTGTTAGGGTTTACACTGTTTCCTTTCTCTTAATAGCTCCTCTTGTACACTCAAATGCCTTGTCTCCCTCACATTTACGACTCTTTTTGTCCTGACTAGTAGACTTTTTCTTTTTTTTTCGATTCCCTGTCCTTGGCATATATTTGACCAACTTGGGGATTGGGCCCTTTACCTTCTATTTCTTCTCTGTTTCCCCAATTTTGCATTTTAGTCTTTTTCTTACTACCCTCCTGTATTCCCTTTCCTACCTCTGCTTTTTGTCTGAGGCACTTAATCATGCTTCATATGGGGTTTCTGTAGACATTCATTCACTTCTCTTTGCTAGCTTAGCCTGTTCCACTTCTTCTGCTCTATCCCTTTTTACTTTGTTCACCTGATGTTTGGTCAGGTTACATTCCTCTTTACTTTACTTCTTTCTCCTCCTTTCCTTCTTGTGTACATAGTATTCATTGTACTCCTTTTCTTTGACCAGATGTCTTCAGTGGTGTTAATTTCTCCCTGATGACACCTATACTGAAGTTATATGGCTTGAGTCCTTATTAATTTCCCAGGTGTTCTTCTATCTTGCCTGGTCTAGATCAGTATATCCCTGAAGTATGATTCATTGCTCTTTTTATAAGTGACTATCAAACACACATGACCTTTTGAGTCAAAATCTCTTCTTCTGTTGTTGGTGTTATTTCTTCTAACAGTCGTTTTTCATTTCTCCACTTTAGTATCTCTTCTCTTTCCTTTTTTCCTCCCTCCAATGCACTCTATGGTGTTTTTCACCTGGTCTGTAGTTGGCCATGGTTGATGGGTCAGACATCTTCCTACATATTGCCCTTGACTCATCCTCTTTATGTTTTCTACATTTCATTCTTCAATTTTATGTCTTCACATTTCCTGCTCTACCTTTTGGCATATTAGTGGTCCATTTTGAATTCAATGGTTTTGTGATGGTCTTCACTTGCCATATTCATGGCTCTGGGCTGATACTCCCCAATTTTTTGACAGTTGACTTCTGTTGGCCCATTCTTGGATGATATCTTGTTCTCACACCTCCCTTCTTTTACTGGAGACTTTTTGGTTGGGAGGGTTTGTCATGAAATCAAAGTCCTTTCTCCTGCCTTTTCAATATTTGTTACCTTTGGGCATTTTCTTCATCTTTTATCTCAGTCGAGTTCAGCTCTCTCCTCTTCATCTGTTAGCTATGGTGTATCTATGCTTCTCATTCTCTTCTTGTGCAAGAGGTTTTTTTTGCATTTGGGAATTCTGGAATCCCTCATTCCTTTGGAGCTTGCATGCATGTGCCTCCTCCATTTACCTTGCAAGTCCATGGGGTCCTTTCTTGGGTTCCATTGTCCTCATTTGTGATCCTCTCTTTGAGGAATTTTCATGGTGACTGGACTGTGCCCGTGCTACTTCTGGCATTCTCTTTCTGATTTTCAAACTGGATCTATCTTCTCTCCTTTCATTGAAGAGCAAACCCAAAGAAAGACCTAGAGTGTAGAGACCACTCCACTAGTAGAATGTGGATTGGCAAGAGAGGCATTCTGCTACCAAGTTCTTACCTCCAAGCAAATGACTATGACAGTTTGTGTAAGAAACGACCATGGAAAAGACTGGGTGGAACATAACCAAGTGATCTACCAGTAGGAGTAGGAATGGGAACATGCCTGACAAACAGCAAGAAGATTGAACATGTTGATGCATCCAAATGCCATAAATCAAGCACTTTTCCAGAGATATGTCTCAATAAGGGCATGCCCCTCATAGGCACCCTTCTGAACGACACGCCTCTTCTCTTCTGGTTTCCTGTACTCTCAATCAGGCCTGGTCCCACCTCTTTTTATATGCCTACTCCACTCATTGTCTTCTCCATCGAATCCTCACCTTTATATGGGACTCCTTTTCGGGTCCTCTTGTTGGCATCTCTTTGACAAAATCACCCTTGGTCCACTTAGCATTTCTCTTTTCAATATCCCCTCTCTCATGCTTTACCCTCATGCATACCTTTTTCATCAAGGGATATCTTCCCCCCATTTTCATGTGTGGGATTTGCTTGATCCATTGCCCACCAGAACACAATTTCCAATTATGTGGCATTCTTCTTGTCACATTCCTATTGCTCTTCCACTGTGTTTTTCTATCACTGACAATGGATGGTCGTTTGTCCATTGGTCCATCTGCCACTCCTTGCCATCATACATCAGCCTATTTACCTGGCTCTACATCCACGGTTTGTTGGTCTCTGCCTTTACTAGTTGTTGGATGGCTTTTTGCCTTTCCCAGTACTACAAGGTGCTTCTTCCCCTGTTCTCTCCACTCTGTTCTGCTCCTTCATTTTTCTCTGTCCTCTTCACCTGACTCCCATACCTAACTAAGGCCTTAGTGGGGTTTGCACAGTCTTGCACATTCACTTGGAGTCATTAGATTCTTGCTTTTTGTACTATCTTTCTGTCCAAAATTATTTCCTCTTCCTTCTCACCTTTGGTTACTGTCTTTCAGATGTCTATGCTATAGATGCTTCTCATCCCCTCTTCTATTGCACTTGAATATTCCTCTCCCTGGACTGATCTTTCCTTCCTCAGAGTTGTACTACTTTAGAAGATAACCTTATTTTCTCTCCTATCTCCCTTCCTTCTGTCTCACCTTTCTTATTGTTTGGACCCAGATTGGCTCCTGTGTTCTATTTTGGCTGTTTGGTGTTCCTTGTCATGGATCTTTTCCCTTCAGTGTCCCTACCATCTCTGTCCCCACCCTGGTACCACTCCTTTTCCAGAGACCTCCTACCTCTCTCTTTCTATCCTTACTGGTTGTCTGTCGACTCAAATGGTTTAGGACTATATATTCAACATTGTTTATTCCAAAATACTATATTATTATAGTAGAAGTCTCTTCTCTCTTATAAAAAATACTGACATTTTTTTTGAGTAACATAGATAACATAGATTAACTAAAAAAGTTAAATGGTATCATACCATCATTCTAAAACATTATTACAGCTAGTGTGCAGAAGTTAACATTGTTGTTACTAGTTAACATGATAAGTCTATATCATCTGAATAGACTTTCTAGTTTTATTCTTATCTATTCCCTAATGATTTTCAAATTTTGTAAGATTATATTATAACTGTCAAAAGTTTTATTTTACAGAATGAAGTAATATTATTCAAATTTTTATGTTGTTTGACTTTAAATTAAGGCTACTTCAAGAATATCCAAAAAATACTAGGTTTTTACTTTTGCTAATGCCCATTTTTCTAAGAAATAAAATGATTTATAATTACTTGTTTCTTCTGGTTGGTTACAAAGTCATAGTTATAACAATTAAGGCTCCTGACATTGTCATAAACAAGATTATAAAAATTTAAAACAAACTGAATTGTCAGGAATAAAAAGTCTGGAAAAGTGTACACTCTATTGTTGCAACAGATGAAAGATAAATGAATAAGTCATTGTTTCTAAATTTTAAACAGTGCAACTGTGTTGGAATTATAGTACATTTTCTTGTATAAAGCTTAGGATTAAAGTAACTTAATTACAAATTATTTTACCTGAATTCTGAAGAATGGGTTTCCTAGGGCTTTTCATATTTTTTTTCACCACTTGATAAATTTTTAAGACTCAAATTTTAAAGTTTTATATGCCAATTTTAAGTATATTTCAACAGTTTTAACTCAAAATGGTTAAGATCGACACATAGATTGGCACAGTGGTATGTCGGCGGACTTACAACGCTAGAAACAGGGTTTCAATACCCGTGGTGGGCAGAGCACAGATAGCCCATTGTGTAGCTTTGTGCTTAATTCCAAACAAAGGAAAAAAGTTTACATTTATATTTCTTCACAGCTTCAAAGAGTTTTTCATGTAACAAAATAACCTAATAACTTTATTTTTGCTAAGAACCTCTCACTCCTTGAAAATATATTATCTGTTTCTTGATTTTGAAATGTTTTCTTGTGTAGCTTTGTGCTTAATAACAAAAACGTTTCCTTTAGTTTTTGTACAGGCCTTGTTATGTTGCCACATCAAGTGGTATGATTATTTACTAATGAAATACAGCTTTGAAAATAGTGATAAAAAATGTAAACGTGTTTGGGTAGAGCAATATTTAGACTATCATGTAATAGTAAATGTATAGGTTTAAGAGTTTGTTTTGTAGTTTCTGTAAATATTTCTTTTAGTTCCATTTGTTTGTGAATTATGAAGGTATTTATGTGTTAAATTATATCTGTTTCAGAGCAACATAAATTTTCTTCAATTTGTTTTGTATTATGGATTACTCTTAAAAAGAATAGGATTATTAGAGTAGGTAATGTTGATAGAACCTGAATGTGTATAGACTAAAATACATTAATCCAGTTATTCTCTGGAATTGGTAATGAAAGTGAGCAATAAAATGTATGTAAATTTTTTAATATGAAAGTTATTTTTAAATGTAACTTTATATGACTTATTATTTCAGTGACTTGGTTATACCCAAACTCCCTCCTCATGGTTTTCCTTTGGAACACCCCTTCAATAACGATGGCTTCCGCTACATTCTAGCTGAACCAGACCCTCATGCTCCATGTCGACAAGAGTTTGAAGAGAGTGAAGACTGGGCAGGAAAACCCATTCCATGTTGGTTATACCGGACTTTGGTTTCTTCTAATGTATTCCTAGCTATGCATGACCGAGGTGAGGTATTATGTTTTTTTGTGTAATTGTATCTATCATACCTTTTTATTGTTAGGGCATGCATAATAATGGGTGGTATTTTTGGCCAGAGTGATTTAGTAACATGTAGTTATGTGAATGTAAAATATATATATATGTGATATATATATATATAAAGTTGATAATTCTTTTCTTTCTTCTCAAAGAAAGGGATTGGACACAAATATGCTATATAATCATTATAATCTGGGAACTGAAAAATATGGAGATTAATGCAAAGCAATGTTAAAGACCAGAAAAAACTATCAGTTCAAACCTGGAAAATGTGCATTCAAACAGTTAATGGTATTTTAGTATAATATACACTACAATGTTATTATTTTCTTAGATAATTGAGACTGCTTAAAGTATTATATCATAAACTTTTTATTGTGATGTAAACTATTAGTGTGATATTAAGTAATCTTAAAGTTAGATATTGTATGAGCCTGAAATATTTACATTTATTTCCACATAAATAATAAAACAAAACCATATTTACACTACCATTAAGAAGAATTATGAAAAATGTTCATAGCCTTAAAGCTGCAGAACAAGCAAAGTGTTCACATTGCAAACTGATTGGTTCATGTCTCTAATGCAGTACATTACCTCTTCTCACATATATAGCTATTCTCCTTCAGTGCTGCCATCTATACACAAACAATTTTTTGTATACCAAAAGCTTTGCACTCCCATGTACCTAACGATTATCATGGTTTAACTGTGTCTTGCATGTAAATCATCATGCGACAACCTTCCACCAGTAGGAATATGACACACCCTTCAGACACACGTGACTCCCTCTATTCGATTCTACCGAACTATCTCTTCTTATTAGGCAGCGCTATAGTCACGACAAGTTTTGATTGTGCTCTCGTTACGCATTTTTCTTTTTAATTTTCTTATACCGTTCACTTACCTTCGGGACTTGTGGATGGCACTTTTTCTCAAATGGTTCATTTTTGAAAATAATCTTGAAACTTTGGAATGATTGGGAATCTATGAGACAACATTAGACTCTTTTGTTCTTGATAACTTACCTTGGTTATTCTTATTGTTTATTTCAATAATTTTCACATTTTTATCAATTTATGATGAATACCAAAGTTAATGTTACTACTTCGGAGGTTCTACCCCTTGCTATCAGCACAATTACACAGACTTTAGATAGGAGTGTTACAAGTTAGAATTTCAAATAGCTTGAAATTGAGTTAAATGATACTTTAAGTTTAGTAATTAAATTGTACTTTGGATTTAGCGGTTAAGTAATAGTTGATATATAGTCAGTTTATGACATTTTTCTATTTTAACACAAATATATTTTAACATATAAACAACAATATGATTTACAATAACAGTTATTACAAACTGATTTATAAACAAAAGTTTCATATAAAGTCTTCTTTCTAGTCAGGAACTTCTTCGATATCTTATGAAGGGTTCACGATGAGCGAGTTAATTATGAGTTGACATCGGTATAATTCACTTAACACAGAGCTAGCTAGCCCTGTAGTTCTCGCTGATCACACGCCAATATTTTTTCTACCAGTGACGTTAGGTAATGTAAAAGTACCAATGTCCAATGTGAATCCACTGAAGTTAAATGGTTTGTAATGTTCAAAATTTATAAATGTTCCTGGTCAAATATCCAAAGTTTTCCGATTGATAACCGTTATAACAATCAGAATTATAGCTTCCGAAGTTTATAGCACACTGACCATAGCAAACTAATAATAGATACTCTCGTTGGTGCATTGCGTTGGTTATGTGGGGGCTTTCTAGAAAAATTCAGATTTACCTAACAATACTGAACTACATTTAAGCGTTTACGTACATGCATATATTATTGTTTCTTACACTCGAGAATCTTCTACAACTTTGAAGAATAGGTGGGAGTTTTGCAATACATATTTAACACTATAAGCTATGTATCTGTCTAAATATAAATTTAATATATACAAACGTTGATAGTAAAATAAATATAATAATAAATCCGTCATCACAGGAGATAGAACATTATCTGAGTCAATCTTCTCCCAATAGTGCTTGACTTCCTCCTGAATCTGATGAACCTGTTCATGACAACAGGATTTTGACAGCCTTTTTCCTCCTTCCAATTATGCCATGCCTTCCTGTGCCTCTCCTGTTGAATCTGCTATGCCTAATTTAGCCTTTTTTAGACATGATTTATCAAGTTTGTTCTGTTTTATCCATTTTCCTGATTTATTACAATCCGGTTCTTTCCTTATTACAAACACCTTTCCCTCTTTTTCCTGATGTCGAGGTTCATGCTGAGCCGCCTCAGAAAGAAGGTGTATGGTGGACAAATACTGCAGGAGAGTCGTATGGGTAAGACAAAGGTGAGATACTGGGCTTGGGATAAACGTACAGAACTGTAAGGGTCAGCCCTTCATACAGGCAAAAGAGATTCTAACTGCTGAGAATCAACAAAGGGGTAATCTGCCTGATGGTAAGCTAAGGCAAACTGATATGTGGCCCGTGGAAGGTGAGGCATGCTAGCACCAGCTCACAACTCTGAAACAAAATCTCGACTGAGGTGGGAGTTCAAAAAGACTCCCCCAAGTGGACAAGATATTGAGTAGGAGTCAGGAAAGATTTCTCCAACTTGATAAACAGCCTCTGAGAGAAGGAGACGAGTGTGAGATGAAGACTCCATTTCGGAATGGGCTAACAGAAGCCAGTTTTCCATGCAGTAGTGTAAGTGCAACCTCCCACCATGCATATGTCAGACAAAAGCTTTGACTACCCAACAAAAAGACATACAGAGCAAAAGCAAGCCCAAATGGCAAGGTGCAAAACTGATACACAATCCCGTGATGGACAAACTGGAAATAGTGTCTGCACTTTGGAGAAATGGGAATGTGTATATAGGTATTCCAGCAATTACCTTAATCATTTACGATCCCAGAAAGAAAGCCCACTTTAGAGTGGAAAAGGACTCCACTGTAAAACGGGAAAGATTCAGAAATGGAATGAGGTGGGACTGATCGATCACAGGACACCAGTCCCCAGTTTTCTTGGGGACCACAAACAGTCTGGAATAAAACCTTGGGGAAGAATTACTGAATTACTGACAGGCTCAATAGCTCTGTGTGATAGAAGTCTGTACCTCCTCTGACAGACGTTGACTGGTAGTATGATCCCAAGGTAATAAAAAGGATATGGGTACAGGAGACAGTGGGGGTGGGGAAAGGAAATGGATGATAAGTCCTTCTGACAAGACCTGAAGAATCCAATGATTTGTAGCAAATTCCCACCAGAGGGGGACAAAATTGGTCAAATGATCCCCCCAATGAACCAGAACCCACAAGATAGTCCATGGGAACTATTGGCGATGATGAGACCTGTGTTGATAAACATGGAACACCTAGTGGGAAGAACAGGTAAAATACAGAAGGTGTCAGACGTGTAACAAGAACAGGAGATTGCAAGGGCCCTAAGTGAGACAAACGAGCAAACAAGAACAAAAGGATCTAATGTTGCCTCACAAATTCCACACATGATTTCAAAGTTTCAAGAATATTTCCAAAAACGAACCATTTGAGAAAAGGTGCCATCTGCAAGTCCTGAAGGTAAGTGAACAGTAAACAAACGGGGACAAGACAGAATCACAGCAAAGAAACTAAGTGTGAAGAGACAAAGCAGAGGAGGACAATCACACTGACAAATAGGTAAGAAGGGAGAAGGTATCCCCCCCAAAAATCCCTCAGGAAGTCAGTGGAGTCCTGACCTTTTCCTCTTCGACCCAATTCAATAGAGCTTCCAGGTCTCCATGCCCTTGCTGCTCTCTCTCTTACTGTTCATGAAGTTCTATCACTTTTGCATACATGGGTTTCTCTTGAAGCACTTGTCCTATTGGGTCAGGCACATGTGCAGTCTCTTCAGTGGACTCTGCATGACCATTTGAATCTAGCTTGAATCCTCATGAACAACCTGCGTTGGGGGGTGAACAAAGCCCACACATAGTTGGGTGTACTGCTACCTTCTCCTCGCCTGGATTTGAATCTCTTCACCAATGCTTCCCTATATAGTTTGAGGCATGGGTCAATCAGCAGGAGGCTCGGTAAGACAGTAAAAACCACACTGACATCTCAATGCAGAAGGACCACTCAACGATGATGTCTGTGAATCCAGAAGTAATGCAAAAAAAGGGAGAGGTTAGGAGAGGTAAACACTAAAAAGTAATCGGAAAAAGGGTAGGTGTGGGATAAGACTGCTTGATATCCAGCAATGGTCAAGACCGAAGTTTCATGATTGAACAACCAAGTGAGGAAATCTGAAATAAGAGGAATGGTGGGTCAAGAAGGGGAAAAACTCCTGATACAAAATCCAATGGTGAAAGACATTCAATTGATGTTGATAAACTGCCAATGAGAAAGGGCAAATGGAATCAGCTAAAACGAAAGCAACCTGCTGAGACAATTCGGATCTCCTTGCCAAGGACCTGATAAATGCCAGGTGTAAAGACAAAGGGTAAAAAGGGAGGGATGAAATACCAGTGACCAAGGTTGGTACAGAAAGGATGGAGTGAGAGGAAGAGACAACATGCGGGCAGTATAGAGTTGAAGTAGCTGAGGAAAACAAGGTTGTGCTGGTCAGTAAGGAGCAACAAAAAGAACCCGACACAGAGTGGCACAGATGATCAAAATCACCCGAGGAAGAAGACAAATAGGAGGATTAACATAAAGGCATCAGTCAGTCCAATCCTGGCAGAATGAATCTACAGCCAGGGCTTGTAGATGATGAACCAGACCAAAAATGAGGTAACTTAGAATTGAGGAATGTGGCAAATTCATCCAGCTGAGGAGTACCCCACTGTGAACATAGCCAATGGAAAACCTGATGATCGAAGGACCACTCTGTGGGATAAATTTTGTCTGAACTGGAAAGACAATCCCCAAAAAGTCGGAAGCACCCGGAGCATGTCATGACAGGAAACTTATCCCAAATGTGTGGGCCAAAA